GTATGATGTAGAGAGCCTTGTAACAGCCTAATAGAAGATGTAAGAGCTGAGAGGCTTGTAGAACAGCCTGTGTAGAACAGCCTTGTAACAGCCTAATAGAAGATGTAAGAAGAGCTGAGAGGCTCAAGAGCTGAGAGGCCTGTATGATGTAGAGAGCCTTGTAACAGCCTAATAGAAGATGTAAGAGCTGAGAGGCTCGTATGATGTAGAGAGCCTTGTAACAGCCTAATAGAAGATGTAAGAGCTGAGAGGCTCGTACGATGTAGAGAGCCTTGTAACAGCCTAATAGAAGATGTAAGAGCTGAGAGGCTCGTACGATGTAGAGAGCCTTGTAACAGCCTAATAGAAGATGTAAGAGCTGAGAGGCTCGTACGATGTCTAGAGCCTTGTAACAGCCTAATAGAAGATGTAAGAGCTGAGAGGCTCGTATGATGTAGAGAGCCTTGTAACAGCCTAATAGAAGATGTAAGATGCACTTGGCTGGTGAACTTGATATAAAAAACAAATATAACATCTTAAAATAACCTCAAAATAACACCGAGACTCTATTTTAAATTGTTTCGTTCATTTAAGATAAAAAACAACTTAATAATGTTTTGGGGGAGATTGTTACCTTAATTTTATTTCCTGTTAAGTAAATAGATATACAAAGTTATGTGCCAAATTAATGTAGAGTTTTAGCGTAATTTGGGCTTCATTTTCTTATTATTTTTACATTAGTTTACGTCAACCAGTTAGATGGAACTTTATAGAATCATTTTCTTTTCCTCTTAACTAGTATTATTATATATCTAGCTGGTTAGTGTAAGTAATGACACGAAATGGCGTCAACATTACACTGATACTGTACCCTAACTTACTACATACAGTTAACTCCAATTAGGGGAAATAATCAAACAGGAATTTTGTTTAATTTTCTTAATAGGTGGTACAGGGGTATTACATAAATAAAATGTTACTTTCGCACAATGATACGCCTACTTTTCCGAAAATACTTTGGAAATTACTAAAACTACTTCATGTTACTTTTCACACGGTATAAAGATTACTCTCACTTACATAAACTTTTTCAGGAAATTGCCAAATGTACTTTAAAAATACTTAACGTAAAAAATCACCAAAACTATTTGAAAGTTATGATCCAATGAATAAAAAAGTTACTTATGGTTAGCTATATACAAAACAACAGCAACAATAACAGCAACAATAACAACAACACCTAACTATAGAATCCAGGTATCTTGTCATTTATATAACCCCACCCCCACCACCTCTCAGCCAATCATTTCCTCTTATGAAATGATCCTCACTGTTGATTCGTCACCGGAAGGATATATTAAACGGTTAGGCGAGTTTCAGGTAGGTACTGTACGTGTGCTGTGATAGAAGAAGAAGAAGAACAAGAACGAGGAGGAAGTGGAGAAAGAGGAGGAGGAGAAGGCTAACAAGGGATAAACAGTGTAAAGGTCTAGCCTCGTCCGCATAACTCTACGGTCACCACCACCCACATTTCACTTACTCTTGAATTCACTATTGTGTTATTAATGACCCCTGACCTTAATATGTCGGGTCACTATAATATTCTGTACCCAATATATTGACCTAGTAAATATGAAGATGTTAATGTGGCAGTTTAAGGGGTAATGAGCTGTTTATATTACAGTTTATGGGGTAAGGGGGTGTTATTATTACAGTTTAAGACTCAAAGGGGTAAGGGGGTGTTAATATTACAGTTTAAGGGTTAAGGGGGTGTTAATATTACAGTCTAAGGGTGAAAGGGGTGCTAATATGACAGATTAAGGGGTAAGGGGGTGTTAATATTACAGTTTAAGGGTTAAGGGGGTGTTAATATTGCAGTCTAAGGGTTAAAGGGGTGCTAATAGGACAGATTAAGGGGTAAGGGGGTGTTAATATTACAGTTTAAGGCGTGAAATGGAGTCCTATAGGCATGACTGCTCGTTAAACTTGGGTACCTATTTACAGCTGGGTAAACTAGGAGCATCCATGAATCGAACCAACGACCCACGGAACAGGAGGCGAGTGCTGTATCCACCTGACCACCGCAACTGCTAATGAATTGGGCAACAGGTGTTTGGGTTAGGCAACAAGTGGATGATGAACACATATTAAGGAGGGATGGATAAGGGCGAGGAAATGGAGGTGTGGTTTTAGAGTGAAAGTGGGAGGTGGGGGAGGAGGAGGGGTGTTCTGGAGGGCGGGGGAGGAAGGGGAATTTGGAGGGTGAGTGGGTGAAGTATGGGTGAGTAGAATTGAAGTGAGAGAGAGAGAGAGAGAGAGAGAGAGAGAGAGAGAGAGAGAGAGAGAGAGAGAGAGAGAGAGGAGGGGGGGATGGGTAGGGTGCTGTGAGGGCAGATAACGGGCTAGCAGAGGTCAGTTCACTGTCTGACCCAACCACCTTCTACCCTGGGCCTCGGGGAGGGCGCCTGGGGTGGGGGCGAGGAAGGAGGAGAGGATGGGGGAGGAGGAGGAGGGGTGCTTCCTGGGTGGTGAGGGGGGAGAAGAGTTGGGAGGCAGACGTCTCGGGTGGGGAGGAAGTGGAGGGAGGGAGAAGGTGTGGGAGGAGGACCTAGGTCATCTTAGAGGTGTGGGAGGAGGACCTAGGTCATCTTGGAGATGTGTGGGAAGGACCTAGGTCATCTTGGAGGTGTGGGAGGAGGACCTAGGTTCATCTGGAGGTGTGTTTGTGTATGTATAGGATAGAAAATGTGTCTTGGAGGTACTGGTGGAGTCTTGGAGATGAGGGGCATGGGGGTTTGTGGAGGGGGATGGGGGTTGGCGGAGGGGGATGGGGTTGGCGGAGGGGCATGGGGGTGGGAGGAGGAGGAGACACACACGGATACACAGAGACACTCACAAGCTACACCCACCTTATCTACACCGGGACAGCCCTCCTCCGCAGATGAGGGTGACGTCAGCTCTGTGTTGATCGTCTGTCAACCAATCAGAGACCCGGGAAACGCTCTGCGTGTCTTACGAACATTAAGACATCAATAAATTATGATTTTTTTTTACCACCAACCACGTTAGCTTACGATTTGAGAGAGAGAGAGAGAGAGAGAGAGAGAGAGAGAGAGAGAGAGAGAGAGATAACATATATATCACACGAAACAACAAAAAAAACTAAACTTCTGTAGGACATTAAACTGATACGAGAGAAGAAAGAATATTATAGTATCCATTAAAGAAATTGATACCGAGAGTGGTATTTTGTGTACTGTGGGCGCACGGCCTTGGTGGTGGGTATAAATATTTCAGCGATGTTGTGTTAGAGAGAGAGAGAGAGAGAGAGAGAGAGAGAGAGAGAGAGAGAGAGAGAGAGAGAGAGAGACACGACAATCAAACAAGCAAAACAAAACAGACATGAGACAGCACGACAGACAAACAGCCTGATACCATAAGACGTCAGCTGTTAAGTGCTTCATCGTGGAGTAAGAGTTGCAGCTCCCGGTCCGGATTCATCAAGCATCACAAATTAAAATTTTCCCTTAATTGGGGTTCATATTTCTGCGGATTCCCGGACCTTCGTAAGTTAAAATTTCAACCTTTACTTGGAGTTATCTGAAAGGTTAAAACTGGCTCACTTCACCTACCACATAAGCATTAAATCTACGAAGAGACTCGAAAGTAATTGATCATTAGTTACCTTTATAATACGTAAAATATGACTTACGAATCTTAGAGAATATCAACCCAGTTTCTTTGAGATTCTAATTTAATTCTGCTTCGTAATTTGTTAACACATGCAACCAAAATGGCATTGAAATTACTTTGAGACTCTACCGTAAGACGACACATGTTTTTGTTATGTCTGGTTGGGTGAAAATTAGTGTACCTGTAATTACGAACCTGAGAATATAGACTGACGCAGGTAAGTGAAGGTGAGGATGCGAGGTCGTGTATTTCTCGGTGAACCTGTTAACATTGCCAGGTACAAGTGTCACCTGACCCACGTTTTAACCAATTAAGCAATCCTTTGGCTTTCGCGGATCACCTGAAGGCACCCATGTTTATTTCACTTGATGATTAAACTTCCTTACACTACTTGGAGGGTTAGGTTAGGTTAGGTCAGTTGGGGTACCTAATCTTCAGCAATCCGTTTCCGCTATATATAGAGATTAATGAGTCTGGTGACCTTAAGAAATAGAACCAAACAAGCATCTCTTACTTGTTTACGAGTCATTTGTGGAATGATAATGAAGGTGGTGATTGAGTTTAGCTATGTTTCTGCTATGTCTAAGTGATGGAGTCTTGAGAAATTGTTGTATTTAATCTCTTGAGGTATTTTCTTTACGGTACACAAGCACAGGAGTGGAAGTGGTGAGTTAGCGTGTTTACTAAAAGCCATCTAAGTGATTGTTAAGACAGGTGAAGTGATCAATCAACCTTGACTTAAAGGGCAAACCAGGTGTTGTTGGGGCATCTTGTTAGGTAAACCCGGTCTTACCTGTACTGTACATGAATAACTTATGAGAATAACTTTCACTAATAATATAAGTCGCTCTAAAGAGGTAATTAACCCAAGTCTATCTATACTAACTTGATCTAGGTTAGGTTAGGTTAGGTTCGGTTAATATCATGGTGGTTAAACTTAAAGTGAAATAAACTGGGGGGTTAATCTTCAGGTGATCCAACATGTGTAATGTTTGTTCAGTGTCTTGTTGTGACTGATGGGCTGGGAGAGACACTAGTCACTGTGTTTACCTAGCGTGGGTTTGTTGCATAATTCGGTTTGCAATACCTGGCAGTTTCTTACAGTTAAGCAACCAGTCGAGGTATCCATTGTTGTTCTGGAAGTGAGGCAGACTTAGCTAACGGCAGTAACGGTCCTAACGGTAATAATGGTCCTAACGGCAATAACGGTCGTAACGGCAGGAACGGTCTTCACTATAATGACGATCCTAACGGTATTAACAGTCATAACGGCTTTAACTTTGATAATGGGAGCCAGTCAATGCTAATATTGGCAGTGAGATCAGCGCATGGCAGTGGAACGTAATAAGAATTCTCAGAGAAGAAGACTGTTTGACCACAGCCACGGTTCACTCGCCTCTGTTGATTTCTATGTAAGACTGTTGTTAAGTCTTGATGGACGCCTCCTGATAATAAACTCCCGAACGTTCAACGGTTCCACAAGTACAATACTCCCTTAAAAAGACGCAGGTCTGGCTTACTTGAACGATAATAGCGTCCTGAGACCAAGATGGCGTTAACATTACAAGAAGACTCTACTGTACCTATATTGGTTTCTTTTTTCTTATTAATGGAGAAAATTAGTTTAATAATGGTTGAAAATCTGGACTAAAGCCAAGAAGACTAACTATAAGAGATAGAAACGTGATACCTCGGGTGATGTGACAACTACGTCAACACCACCAAAGGTTAATGGTCAGTGATCCGCGTCCCTGAAGGCCCTATGTTATATTTTTTCTGGTGTCTGAGGGATGAGATAACACTTCTAGTTACGGTTGAGTCTCATCGCTGTTTTTAGATCGCTTTGGCCACTAATCTGATTTCTTAGATTTAGTTAGTGAGTAAGACTTTAATGTTATATTCGTTTGTGAAAAAAATTAATCTTAGAGAATCTGAACCCAGGAATACGGTCACAGTGGTAAATGTATTCTTGAATTAATAAATCAGTAATTATGAACGAATAAATATTTAAATCGTCGATAATGAAGTAACACTACCTTAATTAGGGTGTTAATTTACGACGATAATGTGAAACCAATGTCAAAACTGTTTCAATGTTTCAATGTCCTGTTTTGGTAATAAACCGATCATCATCTATGAAGGTCCTCAAGTCCTAAGCGACCACAATAATCATAATAAACAGAACAAGATCACTTCCCTGACAACAATAACAGCGGGTCCACCTTCAGCCTAGCGGGGGTGTTGAACGTTCACTGTTGCTTCCTGAATACCGCTACCACCTGCCGCACTACCTAATATCATTCACCTCTTAAGTCCCACCTTATGAACCTCTCTTACTGAGGCAAGCACAGGAGTTTATTTTTTAATGAACTTCTTAGATGAGATACTTGGTGATAGAAACATAATGCCATTTTGTTTTGTTTTTTAAAGGTTTAAGTCATAAAATTAAGAAACAACAACAAGAAGAAATAACTGGGAGGTGACATTATAAAAGGTGACATTCTAATAGAAGACCTGTGAAGGATTTTATGCAACTCGACACCTGATTTACTCTAATCTAGTCTACCACCAGAAAACCTTGGGAATCAGACCTTCAGTTTAACATTTTCGTTCTTTACACATCTAGATAAACAAAAAAGTTCCCTTCCTTGACTTTCAACATTGATCGATGTCATGGAGAACATTTTCTGGGGGGTGTACTGAGTAGACACAACCAAACAGAGTGCTATTTTTACCCCACCTTCACATCCAGCTGTTACTGTAATCAGGGAGCTGTTCTTGTCGTTGTTGACACTCGAATTCTGCTGAAATATTTCTGTAAAATGTTCTCCTTCCCACACACTCTAACACTGAGGTTATTCTTCACTATAAACACTATATTTTTACAACTGTTCGTAATCAATCCAGAGGTGATGATCGTCCAGTGAAGAGGAAAGTTTACATTACTGCGTCCACCTGAAGAGTACACACCACACCAGAGCTTACAACCGTGTGTACTCTTTAACCTTCTAATGTTGGTAATAATTATCTTAAGTCTGACATTAAACACCATTTTGTATATTTATCTTGCATACACACACGCACATACATACAAACATACATACATACATACAAACATACATACATACATACATACAGAAATACATATTCGTGTCTCCACCAGGAAGGGAAGACCATACACAATGTGAAAACAAAAACAATTGTCACTTTCGGTAACCGTACACATCAACATCGTCACACAATCACTCTACATCACCTCCCTCAAGTTTCTAACCTAACGTAACCTAACCTAACCTAACCTAACCCCCACCTTATAAGCATCAATAACTTTGTAGTGTTAAAAAAAAAGTGAATTCAATGTTTTCTATTACTTACGTTGGCTCCATATCACCCACCGTCCTGCTGGCGACCTGGTGACACGACTCGTACCATTTACAGTATTGTGTGTGCTTCTCGACCTTCCCCCTGTTACCTCCAACACTTACACTTCCTACTACTCCTCCACTAGTTGTTTCCAGCCCCCACCTTACCCTACCCCTCCTCCCTTCCCCTCCTTAAAGATCCTGGTGGCGTATTTGGGAGTGGGGATGGGGTGGGGATGGAAGGAGATGGGTGGGGAGGAGGTGGGAAGATGGGTGAGGAGGTAAGGATGGGTCTTAAATATCATTACTCACAGGCAATGAATGGAGGACTGTGGAAGGGCCGCTCTTATGAATGGAAAGTGTCCGGTGGGTGTAAGTGATTCTTTTATGGTATCTACACCTTGGATATATATGGTACGTGTTTGTTTATATAGTCTCTCTCTCTCTCTCTTACTTACCTTTTATCTTTAACTGTCTTCACACCCTCTTCGAATTTACTATCTACCAATCTCTCTCTCCTACCCCCTCCCTCCATAATACCAGACAAATGCACTGTTCAAACAAGGGTCGCATTGGTGAAACTCCTCCTACCTCTCTCCCTCCAAGTCAAGCAACTTTTTTCCCCTCCGTTCTATCTCTCTCTCTCTCTTTCTCTCTTTCCCTCCACCGTGGCACAAAGGGTTAAACCTAAGGGCGTGAGAAAGGGCGTGAGAAAGAGACAAGGACCTTGGGTGACTCACCTCAGATAACACAGCCCCTTAACATCATCATCGACCGGGGGGAAAAAAGTCGGAAAATAAAACAAAAAACAAAACCCAAACTGGTCCCGATATCAGCTGGTGTCTGAGGCGACGTTGATTGGTTCATGGTTTATTTTGGGGCGATGGGTAATTGACAGGTGAGGTACGGGTATATTGTCTTATGTTATAGTAATGGAGAGATATATACAGTACGTGCCTATATGGTTATGCTATGGGACACACACACACACACACACACACACACACACACATCGACCATAGCACTATAGAAAGCTCACAAACAGACAAATAGTTTCTATATACCAGGGAACTCAGGGTATAATAGTATAGGCTGTGTGATAACGGTATATGGATCGATCATAAGAAAACATGTTAATAAAAACATATAAATGCATAAAAAAAACATATCCAACGGGTTCTATTTATCCAATTTACCCTAAGAATCCAAATTATCCGAGTGATGTTTTTTCAAAGGTATTTCCTATATTCAACGTTGTCCCCATTATCCGGTACTAGACCTCACACGATAAACCAAGAAACGAGTCTTCCGATCTCCATGAAACTCCTGGACGCGAAAAACTGAGCCTCATGACAGTGTTTATTACCCCATAAGTACGATGATTTAACCCCTTGAGTACGATGACAAAACCTCTTTTAAATCATCAAGTCATCGTACTCAAGGGATTAAATCATCGTGCTCAAGAAGTTAAATCATCGTACTCAAGGGGCTAATCTGGCCATCAGGGAAGTGGTGTCTCAAGAGTGTTTTATCGTAAGTTAAAATCAAAACGGTACTAAGAGATCTTCCATTTATTATCTCAAGTGGTGATAGTGTCTGGTGATAGTGTCGTCACGATGAGGGCTGATGAAAACCTGGCTGTTATCAAGATGGTGTGAGGATGGTGACGACAGTGATAGTGGTGATGGTGGTGGTAGTAGTTGTGTGGTGGGGTGATGGTGTGGTCAAGTGGTGGTAAAGTAAGATAGTGTAATGGTGATAGTATAGTGGTGATGGTGGTAGTATGGTAGCAGTGGTGGTAGCGTGGTGCTGGTTGTAGTATGGTGGTGGTAGTATGGTGGTGGTAGTATGGTAGTGGTGGTAGTGGCGGATTCAGAAGCACCAATAGCACCTCCTCGTAAGTACCTTAAGGAACCATTGAACACCATCATGAATATCATAGCAAATAAACTCTTATACCCAGAGGCATTATATTACTGCTTAATGGAAGGAGAAGAAGGGGGAGGGGGGGGGAAGAGGAGGGGAAGAAAGAGGAGGAAGAAGAAGAAGAAAGAGGAGGAAGACGAAGGAGACGAAGGAGAAGGAGGAGGAGGAGGAGGAGGAAGAAACAACATGACCAACAGACAGACAGACAGACAGACAGACAGACAGACCAACACCTCCCTCCCTCAGATCAACATAAAATGAAAGTAAAAAAAAAATATATATATACTTACTTTAACTATATAACAACTCGACAAAAGCCTTCACATCAACGCCATAATAAACAGAGCAGTATTACTGGAGTAACACAACATTGGCATTCATCTTTCTTGTTTGGTAAAAAAAAAAGAAGTAAATAAATAAAAGGTAATATATATTTTGATTCTGTTCTGGCTGGACGGGTGAATGTTTAGGCGGCATTCCTCAAGTGTTGTTCGATCCAATCTTAATCGTCATAAACTTTAATAAAATATCTGACGGTGTGTGTGTGTATGTGTGTGTATGTATGTGTGTGTGTGTGTGTGTGTGTGTGTGTGTGTGTGTGTGTGTGTGTTTTCAGAAGAACGAGTCCACACTGTTCCAATGATTTGAAGATATTGTAATTATATTCAGTTACATAAATACTCAAAAAAATAAAACACTTCAAATGGATTAATAAAACACACACACACACACACACACACACACACACACACACACTCCGAGTAAAAATGTTCAAGATTGTATTATACAGTATATAGACCGAAAATGAGCAACTGAGAGAGAGAGAGAGAGAGAGAGAGAGAGAGTTTGGAGGTCATTTAGATGATGAAGTCAACAACAGGTAGGTGATGAAAGGTTGTCCCAGCGATCAGTTTTTCACAGGATGGTAACTTGAGATGGCTGTACGGGATCCACAATGAGCAGTTAATACGTCAGAGGATAAAACTAGGAGGACCTGATGATTAGACACCCCAGCTTATTTTACCTAATTATTAGACACCCCAGCTTATTTCACCTGATGATTAGACACCCCAGCTTATTTTACCTAATTATTAGACACCCCAGCTTATTTCACCTGATGATTA